GTGTGTGTGTGTGTGTGTGTGTGTGTGTGTGTGTGTGTGTGTGTGTGAGTGAGTTTGTCTGCACACATTTGTATTTGTTGGTGTGTCCAGAGGGGGTTGTACTTGATGGTTTTATGATCTGTACGGGTGTATGTCATATTGGTAGTGGTGGGAAGCAATATCCGCTTCATAACAGAAGGCAAAAGGCTTCTCTTTCTTTCTTTTCTCTCACTCAGTCTATCTGTCTCTCCTTCTCTTTTCTTTTTCTGTGTCACTTTCTTCAACAAACTCACGCACATTCTCATGTGATTACCGCCAAGCTATGAAAGCTGTGATGCCTTATACTTTATGGTGTGTTGAATACAGTTTGCCTGTCTGAAATTAAAGCCTCACTAAGCAGCATCATATAGTGGTATTAATTCTAGCCAAAACTAATATGAAAATATTTCGTGTGTGAATGTGAGGGAGGGGAGAGAGGGAAAGAACCACAAAATGAGAGTCAATAAAATGCTTTCCTTGCACACTCTTATCCCGAATGAAGTGAAGCTGGGCATCGCTGCTCGCCAAGCAGTCAAGACAATTTCACAGCTGGCTAGCCTCAGGTCTTAGCAGCACTTTCTATATCTTTTTACAATAGAGACACAGACCTGTGACACACAGCTGAAACACCCCAATTTAGCAGCCTGTAACCCAATCTACACAGCCTCTCAGCCAGAACTAATCCCAGACGTTTATACATGTAGGCTGCGTTTCTCACAAGCTTATAATTTATATACAACAGCACACACACTCTCATTTCTTTTCACACAATGATACTGCACTGCTGACATCCAGTAATTAAACTTCTCCATTGAAATCACACACATAATCCACCATCTTTAGAAAACTGTTTCGTAAAAAAAATGTGTGAAGACCACCTTGAAAATAACTTAATAAATAAATGAATACAACCCACAGGTTTCTAAATGTTTAGATTTAATAAACAAATTAGAATTACATTAACCCCCCCCCCCCCCCCCCCCCCCCACACCCCCTTCAATCATGTAGCATTGTTTTAAACCTCTGGGTGGCAGGAGAGTTCTAGCAATTTTGCATAAATGTCTGGCACAGATTCACACTGCAAATATCTCCAGCAGGACAAGAGTCAACTCTGGTTCAGAAGTGCTGCTTTCTTTCAAACTTGTATATTTACAAGGATGTGGTGTGTTTAACTGTTTGCTTTCAATCTATTTGCATTTACATATTTTAAATATGTATTTGACTTTCAAATAGCCTTTCCATGACTACCTCACCCAATTTCGTTTTCTTTCTCTCTCTCTCTTTCTGCTTTCAGCTCAGCGGAGGGGTCGATCCATGCAGGTACCATGTGACACGGAGTACCCGGCCTTCGTCTCCGAGAGAACCATCAAAGAGAACATGGGCAACGTTGACTGTGACGGCTGCATCAAGTATGAAACGCATACACACGCAGACCCCTGTGAACACGCATCAACAACACAGTAACAACAACAATCTCAATATCCGTCTACTGTTCAGTAACACACCTCGGATATCAGCGGGCCACTACATTCCATAAAACAACCTAACAATGAAAAATGAATCATCCTGTTAACTCTCATCTTGGCGTAGTATTTTTTATCTCTGTAATCCCTGATAATGAGGAACACATTTAAATCATTTGTTGTCTGCTGAAAACACTTTTATCCCGGCAATCCATCAGAGACACACACGCAGACACTCACTCTCTCTCCTCCGGCAATTTGAAATACAAGGCATTTAGAAATGAGGGAGAGGGGTGGAAAAAAAAGGCTTCCTTTAAAAATGGGAAAATGAGTGTGGTCCCCTTTAACAATTTGGGCTTTTCTGTCAGGCAATTGTGGGGTGTTCTCTGGATCCCTCCAATGGGCCCTTCATTGCTCCCAGCTGTGGAACTGCCAGGGAGGCTCAGAACCCTGTGAGTGTGTGTGGGTGTGTTTTCCTTGTGTGTCTGCTGCCAGTACAGCCCCACAAGGTCAGCAGGGTAACCACTGCCCTGGGTGCTAGGAGTAAAATGCGGTTGGGGATGCAGTCACACTACCAAACACACATACCGTGTATACACACACACACACAGCACCGTCTTACACACATGACAGAAGCGGGCGTCAGGGAAGAATGGCCTCATCTCCAATGATGACACCAGAACTGGGATTAGCGGGCAGGCCTGTGTGCTCTGAGCAACATGTCGCCTTCAAATAAATCTTTTTTAAAGCACAATGAATTTGACAAAGTAAAATGGAGTTTTTATTTGGGTTATATTTTATAGCTCACATTAGTAATAGAGGATATTGGTGATAAACATCTGTTTCACGTTACAGGCTGACTGAGGCCTTTCTCTCATATTTTCATTGGGACACGTGTGTGTGCTTAATGCTCTCGGAAATATACTCTAAGCTTTTGCCTGTTAAACTTCTCTTTACTGTATTTTGAATGTGTTTGCATGTGATGTCAGTATTTGTATTTGTCCATTACTTCCTGATATCTAGCGAATGCTATAATAGCTTAAGTGGCCCTATAAGATGATTTAACCTCCATTAATGCATAGCAACCTCTCTAGACTGTAACATGAGATGTAGGACGAAGAGTGTGTCATGTCTCTAACCAGAGAAAGTCTTCAAGGGAACTATTAGCGACCACATGCTCCTTTATTTTTTCTTGACCGCCCCAGACAAGCAAAAGAGAGAATTTCAAAGTTGCAATGAGCTACAGCTTCGGCGCTACAGTCAGACGTGTAGACGTGCTTTCAATCTTAAATTGCATCTGTCTTTATCCCTGTCGCACTAATAATTATGGTATTGCTGAAATATTTGTTTATATTATCATACTGTCACTCCCGACTTACTGTAAGGCAAGTTTTGCTACTATAAACACAATTTTTTAAACATATTTTAGTGCCCTGGTTGCATCAGAGACGTGGTATTTAGTAAACAGTATTTGAGAACAGTAAAAAACAAATTGGTATCGCAGTCTTTATGGAACCAGCTATTTTTTTTGATATTACATGTTAAATTAAGTTCCTATTTTATATGCAGAAGGAATAATTGTGTATAATTTCAGATTTAACTTTTAAAATTAAATCCAATTGTCCATTTTTTTATGACATATTTCATATTTTTTATTAAATTTTTATATTGCAATGTTTTAATGTAATTTGTTACTCATTTAGGACCTTTATGCTGAATTTGCGCGAACCACTGCCATAATTTAAAAATCCACAAATAATTTAAAAACCTTTAATCGAGCCCCTCTGAATATATACTGTATATTAGAATCATGTAAAATGTGAAAAAAAAGGCTTAAAATGAGAATACTGGAATCATGACGCCCAGTTTCCCCAAAAGTAATGAAAGAAATGAAAATAAAATGACAGCATTGCTCTGAAAACTCTCCAGTCTGTTTGGTGAGATTTTATTGAATTAGTCATTCTTAAATTAGACACACCAATTACTGGTTAAATTTCCCAACTGGGATGACAGATATTTCTGAAAACCATACGCATGCTGTTATGGTTATGGTTAAGTTATGCAACAATTAAATTATTGGAAAATTGTGAACACTCTCTACAGGACACACAAATAATATTGCATTTAGCCGCTGAGCATGGACACATTTTACCACGAAAGGTAGAAAAAAAATTTGCCTCAGTTCTGCATCAAAACCAAAGCACATGTTAAGCATAATGTGTTGTGAAATGTTATTATGTTAGCTCCAACGACCTTCAGTACAGCTGGCTCTCCAAAGGTAGAACATTTTCCTTCATGTTATGCAGTGCTATTCTTTTGTCAGCTTCAGCTACAGATTGTGTGATATGTTTTGTCAGAACTTAGATAAGGAGCCATGATCTGTCACCACGTCTTTGTGTGTGTCTTTTCCTATAGTACATCAGCTTTATGTTATACATCTGTCTAACTCCTGATTTCTTTCCCTGTTACTGCCTTATCTTTATGGGTCTCTGTGTCACTCACTGTCACTCTGTCACTCTGTCACTCCGTCGTTCTCTGTCATTACTCAGATTGGATGTCGTTACTGCCTGTGTACTTCTGAGAGACAGAGAGTATGCATGACGGTCTGTCTCTATCTGTATATTACACTACAGTCATTTAGACGCTTTTATCCAAAGCGACTTATAATTCAGATTCTATCACATTTCTACACCGCAGGCACAGCTACGGGAGCAATTTGGGGTTAAGTGTCTTGCTCAAGGACACATCGACACGTGACTAGCGGAGCCGGGGATCGAACCGCCGATACTGTAATTGAAGGACTACCTTGCTCTCCACTTAGCCACAGTCGCCCATCATACACATTCTTTTGTGTGTTGAAAAGCCTTCATAAGCGGTGTAGTGCTCCTTTTCCCAACACCGGGTATGTTCAAGGCCAGCAGCTGTGCTGTCGGGATGTGTTTAAGTCTTTTCTCCAGGAACACTCGCTCTGCTTTCTGTCAGTGGGCTGAGCTGGGACTGCCCAGCACTGTGCAGGGGTGAGCATGGATTATTAAACATCAGCAGATCCCAATTTACCCTGATTGGAACTGGCTTGACCTATTTGCTGGGCTGGTTTGGTTGGGTTTGGTTAGTCATGGTGGAATTAAAATGCGGTGAATTGGTGCTGCTTAGGGGTTGTGGTCTGATTAAATTGGTCATTTTATTGAATTTGTAAGGATGGAGATATTCCTAGGTCTGTTTTGATCTGCCAGCTCTTTCCCTCTCTGCCTTACTTCCTCCTTCACAAGAGTTGAGAAAATGTATGCGTGTATTTCTGCATTTGTGTGTGTCCTTTCAGTCAAACGTGCATGTTCTCATACGTGTCTGATAAATGCCTCACGGTGAACTTGATAATTCAACCAGCTGTGTGTGGAGAAGAGGGAGGGAGAGAAGCAAAAGATACAGAAATAAGAGATCATCTTTACGACCTCTCTTCTTCATAAAGCTTATCCACGGTCATAAATCACTGGCCAGGACGCTGAGGCGAGGTCTGATCTCTCAGGCCAGTAAAACACAACCATGAGAAGCTATGAGCACAAAATTGTGGTTCCCATTTGTCTCCCTTCGCAATGTTTTATATTGGGCAACACTTCATTGGTGCGCGACTTGGATAGGATATAACAAAGACAAAAGGGGAGCTAGGGAGAAAAATTATGAAGAGAAGGGGATGGAGTGAGTTGGAGAAGTACGTGTGCATATTATATGCGTGTCTGTCAATGTGTGTCTGTCGATGTCTCTGTATGTTTATTGATAGCTGGCGGTTAGTGCATCTCCCCTCCACCAGGGGGGAATGTGAACACTCATAATGTAAATCCTCTGACACACATGGAATGTACATCATGCCCATGCGCTTTGTCTACTTGCCAATTCAACTCTCAATCCTCCCTTGCTCCCTCTCTCTTCTTCCTTCCTCATATTTTTTGTGTTTCTGGCTGTCTGTGCTGTGATTGGCAGGTCCTTTGTGATCCAGCAGATCCCCAGCAGTAATCTCTTCATGGTGGTGGTGGACAACAAGTGTGACTGCAGCATGTTTGAGCCAATCACCATGGACCCCATCGAAATCATGTATATCCTTCAATGGCCAAAGACTGGTATAGAAATAACAATATCACCGGATTATGTTGTTTTAATATGGAAGTCTATTCTCCTCCACCTCATAAGCTCCAGTGGCACAATCCTGTAGTTATAACCACTACGTGTCCAACAATGTTGCAGGGATGTAAATAGCAAAGGGCATTTTAATTTGTGGGGAGGTCTTTGGGGAGTTTGTTAGCCCTCTGGCCTTTTGGTAATGAAAGAGATGAGAGCATTATGAGGGTCAAGATCTAAAGGCTTTGAGACGACACTCTACTAGAAGTCTGTTTCACAGTGCTTTTCAGTACAGTTCATCTTTACTGACAAACTCAAAGTCTGTCAGAAAAACACACAACACAAGCAACAATACATACATAAAAATGAACAATTGCCACCTTTTTATAAAAGAAAGTTATCATAATGTTTCCACAGGGGCAGCTGGTATTGCACAACACTAAAACATGGATGTGACAGAAGCATGATAATTGTGTTCTGGGAACCCTTCAGAAGACAAAAATAAATTAGTAGATTTCAGATTTCTCATTAGTATTTATATAATATATATAATATATGTTACAAAAGTAACGGACAACAAACCAATTACATTGCATTAACTGCTGCAACCATTTGGATTTGCAAACTTAAGGTGCTCAGCACTGATTTTATCAGAACCACTTGCTTTATTATCAGATAGCTGTTATTGCCACAATAGACCTCATTGGTTGTGAGTCCCAATGTGTCACTGTTAGCAATATTACCCACTTTCTAGGGGTCACTTTTAACTTAATTAAATAAAGCAGATTAATGTTTCCTCCACAACTGAGCTGTGTTATCAGCTCAATAAACTCCTTCGATAGTGCATGGTAGAAATAGATTGCCCCTGTTCAGAGCTCTCACCTCCTTCCAAAATGGTGAGTGTGTGTGTGTGTGTGTGTGTGTCCTTGTGTCCGTGGGGATCTGTGTTTGGACTGTGTTACACAACAGCCCACGCTGCGATGAAATACTGATCAATAGCAGACACAGCTCAGAGTGGAGTCAGCTTGAGCTGGATTCTCCTACAATATGTATCTAAGTTGTATGCAGTACAGTCCCACTGTATGTACATATACACCACTGTTCATTTTGTTGTGGAGCGCTTACTGTAGCATAAAGCCTGCAACAAAAGAAAACTCATCAGATATTACTCAGTCTGCTTTTTTCCTATATGCACACCGTGCTGTGCACAAAAGTATTACTGCCTTTCCTTTATAAACAAGAAACACACTCCAGCAGGAAAACCCCCTGCAGTGGGTACACATTGTCTGTTATTGACTTAACTTCAGCTGCACATAATGAGTCTCTCAAGTGCGAGAGGTTGAAGATGCAAAAGGACAGGAGGCGCCCAGATACCTGTCACCCTTTTCACCCAGAGGTATTCACTCCACATACACAGATACTGCACACACACAGTACACTCACAATGATAGTACTTTCTGTCATAATAAATCCCCTGCAAATTCTGCTTTTGTGTTTTATTAAAATATTCCATATATGTTCATAGCTTGACACCCCCTCCCCCCCTACTTTTCTTCAGGAGAACTCAATGGAGTGTGGAGGAGCTGCGGGTCTCACCCCGTCTCTCGCAGCAACACTGCTCTGCGTCTTCCTAGCGCTGTTCCCCAGGTGACCAGAGCTGGCGAAGCCTCTCCATCCAGAACTTCACTTGGATCCGCTTGACTCGGCATGCAAAAGAACCGCAACAATGCCACAGAAAAAAACACTCCTGCCCCTTATAAAACTGTGCCCAATTCCAACTCACCTCCAACAAAGCCCCTAGCCCTGAGGTATCTCCCTACACGACACCTGTATGAAAGGACTGTTAATGGATAGCTATTACGGCTGCTAATTAGTCATCATTACAGTGCTTTTGCAATATCACATGAGCTGCACGGAGAGGTCATTGGGGAGATACAAAGTTAGGAACATAGTAATAATGCCAACAATGCACATAGTAGCTTAAAAATTGCACAAGTGGTCCCAGTGGTCCCACTGACATTCACTATGTTCACTCCTTTTAGGTTGCAGCTAAGGGCTGGGGTCTGTAGCTGGACTTGGAACTGGGCATTACAGCCACGTAACACCCGGTTGGAGAGAGACAGGTGCACCTCTCCCTGGCTCACTCTGAATTTTAATGGACAATAATGATTCTGAAGATTGAAAAAAAAATAAAAATACTGAAGATGAAGATGATTATATGTGGCCGGGGTCGTAATATAATGTTTGTCAATGATCTTTTTTTCATGATGGGAAAAAACAAGTTATAGTCAAAATGAAGAAAAAAAATAATTTTATTTATGATTTGCAAGTGGTACCCATAAACTGTGACTATGAGATTTTTTGAGTCCTCTGATGTGAGTGGTTGTTAATATTTGAGCTTTGCCTTATTGAACGATATTGGTCCTGTTTGTGTACTTTTTAAATAAAATGATGTTTAAAATGGATGCTGTTGTTAATAGTTAATATACAGCATCAGTTGTCATCCCTATAGACTGTTTTATTGTTGTTGGCAGATTTGGTTGATTAATACAGTATCTCTTAGCGGTTGGCTGTGGGAAATGTTTGCCTGCTTTTCGGCCTCCACATGAACAGAGATGTGCGTGCCTGCACGCATGCATGTATTTGTATGAGTGCATCTGGTGTTTCGCTCATCCGTCATTTATGTAACCCTCTGCTCCAGAGGCCTACCCCCCCCACATAAAGATAGACAATAAAGACCATAACACCGGAATCGTAGGCCAACCACAACATACATCTGTATGTGTTTAGGAAATAGACACAAAAATCCTTTTTTTTTTCTGACAAACATACTGTACACATAAATGCAAGAATAGGATTCATATGCCATGCCAGGCTAACTCATATGCATTTGTGTGTGCGTACAGAGGAGCACAATAAGTAAAAACAACAGCGGTTCTCACAGAACCAGGGCCGGCATTGAGCCACTCTGCTGTGGTGTCGATCTCAACACCAAGGTCTACGTGGTCAACAACGGGACATGCTACTTCTTCCTCTCTATCCCCACCTCTCGACCAGCCAGCTCTACTGACCCCAACTTCCTCCTCCACAGACAAGGTGATTCTCACCATGCCAGTGATTTAATCTGGTCTCTATTGTTTCATTGATCTTGTCCCTTGAGCAGAACTGTTTCACTCTAATCATTTCCAGTAGATTGTGCTCTTCCTCTTTCTGTGGCCCAAAGACTCCCTGACTAGCTGGTGGGTCATTTATCACTGCATAATGGGATTGGAGCTGTTTTGGGTCACAAATCCAATCCGGTCTGTGATTCCTTCCTGTTTGCCAGATGAGTTATGGGAAAGTGCATCCAATGTGTGTACAAAAGCCAGACGTGGGAAAGCAATCTTCTTTCTGAGTTACAATGGCAGCCCTCATGCCAGCCCGGGATCCTGTGACTGATAAATGCTCATCTGTGTTTTCTTTAAACTGTTTTCCCCACACACTGGGAAGCGGAAACATAACACATGCAGATGCTTTAAGACATTGTTTTTCTAATATCTCCCTGCACACTGCTCATGTGCGCTCGTCACGCAGGTCGGAAGGGAATTCAGCTTGACTTTGTGTGATTATGTTGTACAGTGTTAAACAGTACAATAATAAGAATGAATAGAAGGTAATAAATGTGTTGACGATCCATTGAAATACACAATTGTATGGAAACATAAATGTGTGTCTTTACAGGTTTGTTCACTTGGATGCCAGTTCACACCTTTGACCCCGGTCCATCAAAGGAGACATGAATGAGAGAAACATCACTGAAAGTATCTTACGAGAGCGTCCACATTCTTTCCCAATGATCTGATTTACGCGTCTGTTTGTGTGGTGGGAAGGAACCCCTGAGAGGGGAGTCGCTGATCACTGAGACACAATGGCCTGAAGGGGCCCTTCAGTTCAAAACACATCCATCCATCAGCACTCACACCACTCTAACCCTGTTTGCTTACCATTATCTTGACTGCATGAGAAATGTCTTTTGCTAATATGCCGGAAGACCGATGACAGTGAAACACACACATATTCACACATTCAAACATTTAGTGCAAACATCCACGTGCATTAACACGAACACATATGACATACAGAGAAGGGGTCACACGGAGGGCAAAGCTTTTGGCGTTACCTCGGATGGAATGGATAACATTGATGTTTGCATTGAGCACCACAGATATGTTTAAATGGAAATGATTCTGAGCAACTGAACCACACCAGGACCACACACAGGCCCGGTGACCACAACACGCCACAGTTAAGACAAGCTGGGAAAACACGCACGATTCTGTCGGCATTCCACGGGGTGACTAACAAAATCTCAGCTCTGCAACTCATTGTAATATGCATTCTTATGTTTGCCTAGAGGACAGGCTTACAGTAGTAAATACGTAATTTTAGAGAAACAATACCAAGAAAGAACTTACTGGATTTGTTTTATTTTATGGAATATGGATTTTATGGTATCATTGTCATTCTTTTTTTTTTTTTTTACATTTTCATCCCTTTTCTTCTAAGCATCTTGTCCTCATCTCTGTCCTTGTTTACTATCTTCTCCACACTCCTTTACCTTTTTTTCCTGCTCCTCTGGTCACATGCTTACTGGCTGTAGCGGTGATAATGACCAGACCGCTCGACTACCTCACCCACACATGCATGTACCCACACACACACACACAACGAACCAAACCCCAAAGGCAATTTGTTCCTGCGCATGCCAGGAGACGCGCTGCTGCCAAGGTTGAGAGGTGCCAACTGAAAACATACACTCTTAACACATGCTCTCATACTCAGAGTTAGTAGTGCACCCCATGCTGTGACAGGAAGAATAGCCTTCAGTACTTATGGACCTCTTGGTGAGCTTGAGGACCTGACAGCCAGCTGTGCTAATGCTGTCTGTGTGTGTTTGTTTGTGTGTGTGTATGTGTGTGTGTGCGCGAGTTTGTCCTTATTCGCATACCTATCCAACAGTGGACCTCAGCATCAATATACGTTCAGCAACAGTGGACTGGTAAGCCAACAGCAGACCTTTTAGAGGTCCTGCTTTAAATGTTAAAATTATTTCTAAGTGAATTTATTTTCATTTTAGCCAACAGGGGACCTTCAGGTATGTGCAAGTAAACGTTCATACTCAGCACTGCCTCTGCAGGGTGGAGCAAGGACTTTAACAACTCACTAACACACTTAAACACACTTATATCAGTCCACTGTTTTAATGTAGGGATGTGCGTGGGTGTTGTTTTGTAATAATTCACCAGCCTGTAGTTCATTGATTCTCTTTCAGAGAGGCAGCTTACCGTCTTCAGCCAAATACTGAATACTATACTAACAAAACCAGAACAAATCATATGCACACATCTAGCATTCCATCCTGTGTTTGTACAAACAAGCTGAGGGAGATTTTTCAACATTAGCATATTGAGCGGAGTCTTTGTAGCTGTGATCTGAGCTCTGCCACCCTGTTTCTATGAAAAGCCTCATTTGGTTACACATGGCAAGCTGAGCAATGGCCTGGAGGGGCATACATATTGGCTCCCTCAAACAGGAAGGGGCTAAATTGAGACCCACGAGCCCCCTGCCTTGCCCCTGTCACTCAAATGCACCCAGGCTGTTTTTAGAGTGTATAGGCCCTTTTCACAGAATGGACAGTCAGGAATGAGGAGAGAGGGGAGGGTAAGCAAGGGAAAGGAGGAAAACTAGATTGGAGGTCAGGGAGGCAACGGAGGGAAAAGGCGGGCTGATTACACCCGAGTAGGTGGTCTCACGATTTCATTACCCAAAGCAAGCAACACCATTGGCTCTCGGCCTCGGTTTGTCCCCAGGTCTCTGCACTGGATTGGGATTGAGAATCGCTGTAAGTATTGTGAGCATTTTAGAGTGCCCTCTGATCACAGTTCATCAGCATGTTTATCTTGGTTGAAGGACCGATCAATGAGTTAGGAACTCTTGGCTGTTGGCTCCCTCATGCCTGCTATAAATCCTTCTGTGCTGATGAATACTGATTGTTGATGTGATAATTGATGTTGTGTTTTTTTGTACATGGCGTCTCTGGCCATGGTGTGGTTACATCAAACTTTTATAGAAGTCTGAGGATGTGTGTGTCAGCATGTGTGTGTGTCTATCTGTCTTGTTTGATTTGTATCTTTATACCTCAGCTGGAGAGCTGCTCCTGCTAACCCTCTATGAACTCAGTGTGGACAGGACTAAATGGTGGCTCTTATTGGCACGTCTGTGTGTGCGTGCCTGCGTGCGTGCATGTGTGTGTGTGTGCGTGCGTGCGTGTGTGTGTGTGTGTGTGTGTGTACACGACTGGCCAAATTTATAATCCGCATGTTCTGCGTAGGCCTATGCCTGGCCCTGGGACTTCAACGCCCTTAGTTTGCATAGCAGAGCAGTGAAAGAAAGGCTAAGGTTACAACCACAGGCCCTGACAGAAAAGTCACTGCAGCAATATGACATTTTTATGCCCTAGTGTCCCCCACTCGCCCGCTCTCTCACCCTGCCCTCCGCCATCATTACCTTCTTGACCGTAGGAATGTCCAAAGCCTTGCTCTTGACATCAACCGCAGCCCTGTGCGTCCTTCTGTTCTCTCTCACCATATCCACCATCACGCCCCTTTTCTGTATCTCTGATCAGTGTGTTAGTGTGCACGTACACATTTATGCTCATGCATACAGTATGCACTTGTGTGTGTGTGTGTGTGTGTGTGTGTGTGTGTGTGTGTGTGTGTGT